TCCATCCCTCCATCCCTCCATCCCTCCATCCCTCCATCCCTCCATCCCTCCATCCCTCCATCCCTCCATCCCTCCATCCCTCCATCCATCCCTCCATCCATCCCTCTCTCCATCCATCCATCCCTCCCTTCCTCCATCTCCCTGTTCTTCCATCCGTTCATCCCTCTGTCCTTCCACCCCTCTATCCATCCCTTCATCTCACCATTCTTTCCTCTGTCCTTCCACCCTGCCATCCATCCATCCATCCCTCCCTCCCTCCCTCCATGTCTCCATCCATCCATCCCTCTATCCATCTATCCATCTCTCCATCCATCCATCCATCAACACGACGGGCTGCAGACCGTTTGTCCAGACGGGGTTAGAAACGCTTGGAGGAGAGGGGGTGTGGGGAGAGGTGTGTGATGGCGATGGGCTTAGACCAAGCGGCGGCCTGCTGATTCTGTACGCTTCTGATCTGTACTGGCGACTAGAAAGAACTTCTCCTGCTTCAAATGATAACCAGTGATTTAGGCAAGAGAAGTGACATCCCTTCGCCTTAACGTGTGTCTAAAAATGTAACCATATGTTGAATGCACGCATGTATCCATGAACACCATTCTTCCAAAATATATCCATCCATCCATCCATCCATCCATCCATCCATCCTTCCATCCCTCCATCCATCCATCCATCCATCCCTCTCTCCATCCATCCCTCCATCCATCCATCCATCCATCCATCCATCCATCCATCCATCCATCCCTCCCTCCCTCCATCTCCCTGTTCTTCCATCCATTCATCCCTCTGTCCTTCCACCCCTCCATCCATCCCTTCATCTCACCATTCATCCCTCCGTCCTTCCATCCCTCCATCTTTCCACCCATCTCTCTGTCCTTCCACCCACTCATCCCTCTGTCCTTCCATCCTTCCCTCCCCGACCTTCCTTCCTTCCATCCCTTTGTCCTTCCTTCTATCCATCCCTCCATCCTTCCATCCCTCTGTTTTTCCTTCCGTCCCTCTGTCCATCTGTCCATCCATCCCTCCGTCCTTCCATCCCTCTGTTCTTCCATCCCTCTGTCCACCCATCCCTCCATCCTTTCCTCCAACCCTCTGCCCTTCCATCCACCCCTTTGTCCTTCCACCACCCCTCCATCCCTCCGTCCTTCCTTCCACCCATCCCTCCATCTGCCTACGCCCCCCAGCCCCGCCCCCAGGCC